GTCTAATAAAAGATATCACATTTACCCAAAGAACCTTGTTGACCAGTCTTTTGAGATTTTATTATGCATCTTTTATTAAAGCCTTCACTTCTGGAGTCAAGTTATTGTGAGAATCATGACTTTGATTTTAAAAGAGTTCCAAACTCTGTATAAGCACACACAGAAATGCTTTGAATGTAACCTAGCTGTTCAAAGGGCTCAGCAAACATAAAGCAAATTTTTTCAAATGTCATTTTTAAAGCAAAATTCCTATGATATTTGGCCAAACTCATGATTTGGGGTTGGGATGTGACTCATGATTTTTTAATGTTTGGGACTTGACACTGGAAAGCATGAGAGGTCCAAGGCAGGTAAGCTCCTGATCTCAATTCAAACTTCCCCAGGTCAAATGATACTTTGGAGCTAGGATCTTAACAGGGAGGACAGGGTGAGGCTGATTTGGATGCTAGTCCTGTACAGGCTTGCCTTACTACCTTGCACAAGGGTCCAATCTTGCATTTCATGAGGGGACTGCATACCAACTCCAGGACAAGATGCCAGGGAAGGGAATCCAAACCCCAACAAGGAGAGATCTTCCTATTGCTGCTCAGGCTAGGGCAACTTGCCAGGCTTGCTCAACAGGGCAAAAGGCCAGCCCAGGTAGCTGCAGTACCCCCTCTCCCCTCCTCAAAATCTGCTCCCTCCTCCTAGCTGGGTCCTGATTGCACACTCCCAACCTGCAGCATGGGGATTCCGCCAAACTCAGCCAGCAGCCTCCTTCTTGCCTTCTGTCTCTAGAAGATTCAGCTGCCCTGGGGACATGTGATGTTGCTAAGACTGGTAACCAGAGCCTATCACGCATCCCCATGCTTCCCCACCTCCTAGCTGTCTGTATGCCCTGTGCTAACACGGGTAGACTAGAGCTCTTGTTTGTGTGAGGTCTCTGCAGGCATCAAAATAGTTAATAGCAGGCGATTATTAACCCCAGCCTAGCTTTGTAACCACACTGGGAGTTCAGGGTACAAAGGGCGCATCTACACATGCAGAGTTATTTTTAGCCACTACCAATTCAAGTTTTCTCCAGGTCAAACAGTACTTTGGAGCTGGGATAGGGTTACCAACTCAGACTGAAGCTATTCTGGGAGATTTTTTTTTCCAGCATGACAATGTCATTAATTGTACCATCCAGCCCATTCACAATATCAATCTCCCGGACTGCTTTCAATAGTCAACAGAAGATCGATGGCAATTTCGGTAGACTCCCAGCCAATCCGGGAGGGCTGGCAACCCTAAGCTGGGATCTTAAGAGGGAGGACAGGGTGAGGCTGATTTGGAAGCTGGCCCTGCACAGCCTTGCCTCAGCAGTGCTACCTTGCACAAGAGTCCAGT